CTTCAAGTGCTCCATGCTGTCTGCACCTCCCTGGCTCAGTCTTTCTCCCAGGCAAGAATGCTGAAAGTAGCTGAAAGTCTTTAGGTACTTACTATATGCCCATGGTCAATATCAACTCATGAATAAATCAAAACCAACTGCCTTTTAGGTAATAAATCAGGAAAAATATGGCTTGGCAGGATTAACACAGTAAAAATGGCCCCATCAAACCAAAAGCAGATTCAATGCAATTGCCATCAAATTGCCAACATAATTCTTTACAGAGCTGGAAAGAAAAATTCTCAATTTCATATGGAATAACAAGAAATCCAGAATAGCTAAAACAATCCTGTACAATAAAGGTTCTTCTGGAGGTATCTCCATCCCTGATCTCAAGCTGTACTATAGAGCAACAGTAGTAAAAACTGCGTGGTCCTGGCATAGAAACAGGCTGGTCGATCAATGGAATCTAATAGAAGACCCAGAAGTAAACCCACATGCTTATGGAGACCTAAGTTTTTACAAAGATGCCAAAACCATACAATGGGAAAAAAAGATAGCATCTTCAGCAAATGGTTCTAGTCTAACTGGATATCTACATGTAGAAAAATGCAAATAGATGCATACTTATCACCCTGCACAAAACTAAAATCCAAATGGACAAAAGACCTCAACATAAAACGGGCCACACCAAATCTGTTAGAATTAAAAATGGGGAAGAGCCTTGAACTCGTCAGCCAAGGAGACAACGTCCTCCACAGAACACCAACAGCACAGGCTCTAATATCAACATTCAATAAATGTGACCTCAAGAAACTGCAAAGCTTCTGTAAAGCAAATGACACTGACATCAGAGCAAAACCACAGCCTACAGACTGGGAAAGGATCTTCAGCAACCCTATATCCAATGGAGGGCTAATATCCAGTATAGATAAAGAACTTAAGAAGTTAAAAAGCAACAAATCAAGTAATCAAAAAAAATAATTAAATTAAAAAATGGGGTACAGAGCTAAACAGAATTCTCAATAGAGGAATATTGAATGGCAGAGAAACATTTAAAGAAATGTTCAACATCCGTAGTCATTAGATAAATGCAAATCAAAACAACCCTGAAATTTCACCTTACACCCATCAGAATGGCTACAATAAAAAACTCAAGTGACAATACATGCTGGAGAGGATGTGGATATAGGGGAAGCCTCCTCTACTGCTGGTGGGAATGTAAACTGGTACAAGCACTTTGGAAGTCAATCTGGCGCTTTCTCAGACAATTAGGAATCGTGCTACCCCAAGATCCAGCAATACCACTCCTATGCATCTATCCAAAATATGCTCAAGTATACAGCAAGGACATTTGCTCAACCATGTTCATAGCAGCTTTACACATAACATCCAGAATCTGGAAACAACCCAGATGCCCCTCAACAGAGGAATGGATACAGAAATTGTGGTACATTTACACAATGGAATACTACCTAGCAATTAAAAACAAAGAAATCATGAAATTTGCAGGCAAATTGTGGGGTCTGGAAAAGATCATTTTGATTGAGGTATCCCAGAAGCAGAAAGACACACATAGTATATGCTCACTTTCAAGTGGATATTAAACATATAAAATAAATATACTAAAACTGTACACCTAAAGAAGTTAAGGAAGAAGGAGGACCCTGGGTAAAAGGATCAATTCTCACTCAGAAAGGCAAACGGGATGGACATCAGAAGAGGAAGAAAACAGGGAACAGGACAGAAGCCTACCACAGAGGGCCTCTGAAAGATTTTACCTAGCAGTGTATCAAAGCAGAGGCTGAGGCTCATAGCCAAACTTTGGGCAGGATGCAGGGAATCTTACGAAAGAAGGGGGTATAGAAAGACCTGAAGGGGACAGGAGCTCCACAAGGAGAGCAATAGAACCAAGAAACATGGCCCCAGGGGTCCTTTCTGAGACTGATACTCCAACCAAGGACCATGCATGGAGATAACCTAGAACCCCTGCACAGATATAGTTCATAGCAGCTCAGTATCCAAGTGGGTTCCCTAGTAAGGAGAACAGGGACTGTCTCTGACATGAACTCAGGTGGCTGGCTCTTTGATCACTTCCCCCTCCCCCCCCCCCCCCGTGCTGGGAACAGCCTTGCCAGGCCACAGAGGAAGACAATGCAGCCAATCCTGATGAGACCTGATAAGCTAGGGTCAGAGGGAAGAGGAGGAAGACCTCCCCTATTAGTGGACTTGAAGAGGGGCATGGGAGGAGAGGTGGGCGGGGTGGAATTGGGAGGGAATGAGGAAGGGGGCTATAGCTGGGATGGAGGGTGAATAAACTGTAATCAATATTAAAAATTAAAATTAAAATAAAAAAACCTTAAAAAGTATGTGTCTGTGCTAAACACAGTGAGGGCTTTTTATTTTTCATCATCCAATAGGGTATAACACCTACATACATAGCATTTGTTTTGCATTAGGTACTATTAATAATTTAAAGTCAATTAAAATATACAACAGAATAACCATAGGGCACACAGCCTTTCCTAAAAGGCACTTGAGTGTCTGTAGGATTTTGACATGTTCAGGGGAGTCTTGAAACCAATCCCCCATAAATACCAAGGGATAAACAGATCTGTACTTGATAAGTCTGTACTTGATAAATTCTTTGGACTAAGAAAAGCACATCTGTAAATTTTACTCTGGAGGCATCTCTTGGCCATTCTAATGAGCTAAATTAGGCTGATGTCTTAATTTCTGGCTATGCTGAATAGCAGATTTTTGATCTTGCCTGTGTAAAAAACACTTGGAAATCAACACACATTATGCTTTATTTCAGTCAATATCATTTTTTGTCCAAAATCATGTGCCCTTGGTAGATATGAAATTCCTCATAACTTCCTGAATTATTTAGTCTACAATTAGTGTATTGTGTCACTCAAAATCATCAAATTTTAAATATAGCAAAGGAAAAAATATGATTTTAAGAAGAAAGGTATTGTTCAAGTAATTATGCTTATTCTTTCATAAGGAATTATAATTTAAGTGTAGCTGGTTGATTTTGTTCCGAAAGCAGTGAACTGTGAGTAACCCATGAATCTTGATATTATCACACAAAATTGGGGGCTCTTATAGTTTTCTTTCTTTATCTCAAAACCACTGTCCACCACATGACCTCATTTATTCATCATATGAAAAAACACGTTTCATGGAACAGATATAGACATAATTCATGCGATTTTTTTTCAGCTTGCAATACTGAAAAGAATAAAATATTTAATGTATTGTAAATAGTAATCAAAGCAGGGCCTTCTAAGCATAAAGGTGATTACATGAATATAAAATATGACTCCAAACCATCAGGGCTACAATTCTTAACAAAGCCACTGTCTTTTCTCTTTGATGCTTATATCTTTCTACACATTTAAAGCAGGTTCCCTAATTGTTCACTCCTTATGGTAGAAGGGGTTGCTTGAATGCAACAGTCAATAAACATGAGGAAGCAGAAGAAAAATCTTAGGCGCAAAATTCACTGAATGTGTGTTCTTTTTATAGGTTTGATTAACAAATATATTATATAAAATAATGGATTTTCTTATCACGTTGTGATACATACACATGATGTAGTTCACTCATATTCAGTTTATGAGAATCTGTTTATTACCACAAAGTACCAGCTATGTTCAGAGTATAGCAAAATAACCATGGGTATTGTTGACTAAATTATAGAAAGCATATTATGCCTTGCTTAGGTTCACTTATTTCTACAGATAAAATACCACTAATTAACCAAAAATACATGTAAATAAGACCTAAGGACATGGACTGATATTAGCTATAATTCTAAAGTAAAAAAAAAAAATATTCAAGAGATTTCTGAAAGACCCTTGGAAATGGTTATAATTTTAATGGATTTTCTCAATTGTATGGTTATTATATGGCTCTCTTCTTTCTCTTTCCTTCCCTCTCCCACTTTAGTGAGGAAAAGTAATTATCATGTAGCTTACAACATGTGTAATTTGTCCTGTAATTATAGAAGATGCTCATAGAGGCAAGTAACTGATCACTGCCAAGAGAGCTAGACAAAAGCAGTGCTGGCCAGCGTGACGTCATCTATTCCACCTGCAGAAGCCACACACATTTTAAAAGAATGCTTGATTTTTTTGAAAGCTATCAGATGATTTGAGTAGTTACTTCTTGGAATAAAATACTGCTGAAAGCTGTATACAGCAGAACTAGACTTTGAGAGGGTGATGTGATGACATCCATCATTTTTCTCCCCTCAAGGACCACAGTCTGCCAATTTCCACCCTCCTTTGAGCCCCAGGGTACTCGTGTTCATGGGCTACATCCACCTGACTGGCTCTGCTTGCTTATCCAGCAGGAGCTCAGGGCTGAATGGGGTATTTCTTGCCAAGGTCCACACTTGGGACTAACTGCCTTGGAAAAAGCCCTTCCTTTAGCCCCTGTCCGAAGCCTTCCCCACAGTTTTCTCTGACTTTGTATCTGTAACCTGTAGCATTAATAAGTGTTCTGTAATATGACCCCAGGCATTTAAAAGTCTTGTGAGTATCTTATACATCACCCATACCTTTTCACCATCCTTCCATTAAACCTTTGGAATAATTCTGATCTTAGTGTGTGTGGTAGCTTTTCTGTTCCAGTTAGCTCTTTCTTCTTACCCCTTAATTTCCCCTCAGGAAAAAAAATCCAATGATAAGCCAATGTTCATGCTAGCAAACTGTTAGTTAGAGACATCATCCATAGTGGACCAATGACACCATAACATAAATATACAGCGCTCAATACATTTTTGCATCTTTTACAAATAAGTGGAATTTAACTAAAAGTACCTGACCACTAAGTAAGTTTAGAACTATTTCTGTCAATCGCCAATGCATTGACTACTCTAATTGATGCAAATATTTTTAGAATCACTGTAAAAGTATTACATATGTTGTATAGAACATACAAAAGAAGATAAATGTCACATTAAACTATCTCAGGAGCATACCTACTTATAAATGAATAAAAAAAATTACCTTTTCACCAATTTCTCCTTTGATGCCTTCATGTCCTTGTTCTCCCTGTAAAAGAAGAGCATGATTATAGTAATAAGAACAATACTTACTTTCATAACAATAGTGATATGGCTAACATTAAAAATTATCATTGATTTAAATAAGTTCTTGTGCTATGAAGCTCTAAAACAATACTAAACAACACAGAGTCTGAATAGTGCAAAACTCTAAAGGAACAGCTTTCTGAATACTTTCCTGCCTTCTAGAAAAATCTCATCTCATAAAGCCAAGAATTCCACAAAGAAGCCATCTGAGCATGTTACCATCTTGATTTGCACTGAGAATCGAATTACAAAGCACGGACTGAGTCTGCCATTCTTGTCCTCAGTAGCATCTCACTAACCCCGAAGACACAGACTCCTATGCAATCTACCTTCTACATGAGCGTCTAAGGAGAGGTTCATACTGAGTGGAGCTAGCAATGACCCATGGAGTCCTGAGCCCACGTGCCTGCAGCCCCAGGCTCCTCTCTGATCTGCTCACGTGACTCACAGCCACAAATGGGAGCGGTTCTCTGTGCTGTTCTATAAATCTAAAAGTGTCTTTCCCTCAGCTGAATACTTTCAAATCCCTAAGTTTATTTTTGGCCTAATTTAACATAAATAGATTGATGACATTGTAACAAACATTTAGTAAACGCTCATTGGGGCCTCCTACGTGCCTGAGACCTATGGTTGCATAGCTGGGAGGGGTTAGAGGTGGGCCATATCTACCCTGCACTCACTGGAAACCATGGCATACGGGATCCAGCCCGTGTTTTCTGAGTGCACAGACATGAGAGACCAACATTTTTGTTTGTTTCTTTTATTTTTCTATTTAAGTTCTTTTCAGAAGCTATTTTTGCTGATCAGACTGTCCTTGAGCCCATGATGCATTTTAGAGGTTTCCCCCAAAGCCACATGTCATTTCTGTGTTCTGGTGAAGTGTCACCGAAGCTCTAAAAGCTCACAATGGCCTTGAACTGCGGAGCCTCTGGCCTCCATTACCACTATTTTCTGGGATAACAAATACATGCATGCCATCGGACCTAGCTAGAGATGAAAAGTTTCTGATCTCAGCTTTTCTGTAATGCTTCCACAGAGCGGCACATGATATAATTAAACTTAACATCAATTACATAGATTAAAATATGAGATCTTATTATCTGTACATAGATCATTTATGAGTATATAGGCATATCCAAACATTCAAATAAAAAGTGTGCGTTTGTGTGTGTGTGTATATAGAAACACAATTAATAAATATTTTCTGCTTCATTTATCCTCAAAACACTATCATCAAACAACAGTTTAGTTCATAGGTACATGGGTCTACCCTTCTCTTAATAGTGTGCCTTCTAAAATACAGAATTTAACTCCATCTGGAAATTCAAGCTGACATTGAAGCTGCTAAGTGCCCCTAGCGCCTCGGCCACGATGTCAGCATGACGCAGCCACCACAAACAGCTGCTGGAAAGTCCGACACTATTTCCCAGCAGAAAAATCCACACATCCCCTGGCTTGCAACTCAGCTCGCAGATGCGGCACTTGCTGTACCAGTGGGTTTTGGTTTTGTCAAGAACTGCTGCGGGGAGACCCAGAAACGTGTCCTTTCATGGCTCCCAGGCCAATGTTGTGATCTCTAAGGAGCTAGGTAAAGAAACTTTCTTAAAAGCTGTGACTGTAAATAAAAGCATGTATTTTCAAATGACATTTCCACACACATATATAAACAAATACATATAAACCTAGATGCATAGCACCTTCAGACATTTTGTTATTAAAACCGGTGACACTTCCTCGGAATGTAGGGATGGTATGTTTGGCTTGGTGGGGACATCTAAATTTGCATCAATGATGCTGTCCCCCCTGGTGAGGTTGTCTGGACTGTACCAAGACAGCTGGTCCCACATGAAGTGGCTCCCCTTCCCTCTGGGAATCTGGAGTACATTAGGTTCTGTGCATCCAGGAATGCTTGGCATGGACAGTTGAGCTTGTTCCCAGAGAAAGCAGTCCTTGGATGGATAGCAAAGGATACAGAGGAAGTTCATTGTGGTGAGGAGAAAGATGTCAGGCACAGAGAGGCTCACCCTACATGGTGGAAAACTTCTCATTCGTCGTAAGTATGATGCAACATTCTCAGGGTTTTGTTTTTGTTTTTTTTTTTTTTTTCTTGTACAAGGAATTGAATCTACAGCTTCACACTGGCTAAGAAAAGCACTCCGCACCTATCTGTATTTCCAGCCCCCTTTTACTCTGCACTTTGAGACATGCTCTTGCCAGGTTGTCCAGGCTAGCCGTAGGCTCACTCTATAAGCTGGCAGGTTGTGGACATGCAGTATTCCTACTTGAGCCTCCTGTGTAGCTAGGATGATTGATCTACACTGCCAGGCCAAAGCAGAAAGGTGTGTCTTGAAGAGCTTAGGGTAACGTTTTTGCAATGTTGGATATTCCACATCATTGCAAATATTTTTGCTTAAACCAATCTGAGAAACTCAACGTGTGCAAAGAGGAAATGACAGCAGAAAACACTGTCCCGCTGTTCACTCTGATTGATAACAGTCAAAACGTTTTCTAGTGCGGCTGTAACTCTTCCTGGTCCTCAGCATCAGTACTGATTCTCCAGGGAGACGTGCTTCTGACACTCTGTAACAAATGTTTCCTTGAGAGGTCTCCAGCAAGAAAATACATCTCTGAGTTCTCCTTGAAAAGACCGGTTTATTAGCTTAGTAGGAAACATTTATAAAAACCCATTACCTTTTGACCAGGTAAGCCGGAAGTATCATGTAAGCCGTTTTCACCCTAAAAGGAGTAACCAAAATGAATCTCTTTAGTCACAAATGATACTGAATAAGACACTCCACCTCTAAAAAAACAAACAAACAAAAGGCTGTATTATTGTTAGGAGGAAAGATAGCCTTCTTCAGGGTATCTGTCATGTGTAGGGTCTTCCAACTTTCTGTCATGTCACAACTCCAAGACAATTACCTCAACTTTTAAGATAAAGGAATGGAGGCTCTGAGGTGTTGTACTAGTCTCCGGGTTATCTAAGTTGCAGCATCGCCTGAGATGTTGAGTGAGTGCTCATGATTTCAGAGCCTGTGTATTCCACCTGTTATTCAGTAATCTTTTCGTTCTCTTTCTCCCCAACCCTTTCTCTTCCTTTTTTCTCCTCCCTCCCTCTCTCTCTTTCTTTCTTTTTTCTTTTTCTTTCCTTCCTTCCTTCCTTCCTTCCTTCCTTCCTTCCTTCTTCTCTCCTTCCCTCCCTCCCTCCTCCTTCCTTCCTTCCTTCCTTCCTCTTTCATTGCTTTGAAACCTCTGGGCACATTAGTAAATGCTTTTTTATGTGGAATGGCTTTGTTTCCTGAATAAACTTGTCAGAGAGTTACTCTTCTCGGAATCATCTTCTGTAGATGGTTGTAAAATGGCTAGGCTTCAAACTCTTGCCACTCAGCTGTGACCAATTTCCTGCCTCCCTACATCATCCCTGGCAATCAATTTTATTGTGGTTTATAGGTGTCTTCTTACATAGCATGAGAGAGCATATATGCATATATGCATATTGTTGTCACATTGTGGACATGTTGATTTCCTTAACCACATCTGCTGATTGCTGAGGGGTCAGTTCTGAAGTCATACCAAAGGCTGTATAAAACAATTCCCTTTCCACTTGTCTGGCTCCTGTCATGGGCGTAAATGTTTTCAGCAGATGCCTATCAGGTTCCATTACTGGAATTCTTGGTCACCGCTTTGACAAGTCTGTCCTGCGAACAGCACACCAGCCAGAAGGAGGTGCTCCAGGGGGAGTGTGCGCGTTCTCAGGGCCCTCAGGCGTTTACTTGGTTCTAGGGATTTACTGTGGCTCCCAAGTGTTCAGATTCGGGCAGTGAACAATGCTATGATCTGCTCTACTTCTGTAAAATATTTATAAAATCCCCTTAGGAAATAACAGTTTTAAGCATTACCTAGAACACAAATATCATCTCTAATTGTTATTTGTAGGAAGTTTAAGTACATGAAGAAGAACACACCTAAATATTGAGCTTTTCATTTTTTTCACGAACACATTTTTTTTGGAAAGTTTTACTGTTTCTTTTTTTTTTTTCTCTTTTTTAACCAGAAGTGTGCTCTCACACATATGCATGTAATTTTAAGGACTAAGATTTTTCTTTGTTTAGATTAAATTATGAAAATACTCTATAGGGTAAGTGCTGTAGTCATAGCACAGGCAAAATTTGGTTGTGATAGGTAAGTACACGTGGAAGCATCAAAAAACGGCAAAATTATCAGTCTACCAAGCATTTCCATCACTTGAAAGTTAGTATGGTTCTTGCCCAGAGGCACCAGGCAAGACTAGCAGAAAGCTGCAGTAGCATCTGATAAAGAGATAAGGAAATCAGGTTAAGTATCTGACGCCAGGAAACATTCTATGGAAACGGAGCTTCTATTAGTCATCACTGAAGTATGCCCACTTGTCCCTAAGAAGTGGATTATTTTCCTCAGTTGAGCCAATATAATATTTTATATCATATTGCAAGTTACTCAGGATAACCAGATACCGCATGTAATCCACTAAAGTACCATGATGTGGTATTTACATTGCCAACAGCCTATTTCGGAGAAAAAGGGGTGATGACGGATCTTCCTCTCTTCCTTTGCTGGCAGCCAACTTTTACACATCACATGCCCAGAGTACTGGCACGGGTGTGTCTTTAGTTGACACTCTGTGACTGGTAGTTAACAGACCGTGTTTCCCTATGGCAAGCGGTAACTTATCTATCATCTTTCCCTACTTAGAGACTTGAAATCGCTCCTACTTGTCTTTAGTCCATTAGAGGAGTGTGACCATTCTGGTTCCCATGAAAACATAAAAAGGACATCGTCCAAACATGCTATTACAAGCGTCAGCGCTGTAAAAGCTTTATCTAAAACATTTGTGTCGGTGGCATCAGTTCTCTTAGTGCTTATTCTGAAAAATAGGAGCAAAGCCCAGGGCTAGCAGCCAGAGTAAACCCAGTTCTACCTACAAAATCAGTACTTGCCCAAGACTAAGAGCACTTACTTGTTTTATTTATTTTGTGTGTGTGTGTGTGTGTGTGTGTGTGTGTGTGTGTGTGTACATATGTGTACGGTCACGAGAGTGTGTGCACGTTTCTAAGTTCCTGCTTTTTTTTTTTTTCTCTCCCAGTCTCATCCTTAAGAAAGCATAATATACTTCTCTTTTATCTTTGGATCAAGATGTGAGCTCCTTGTCTTGTGACCTGGACATGAGCACTGCTCACGTGTGAATACACACTCCCCAAATTAAAATAATGTATAAACTGTATTCATATCCACCATGACCACCAAGTACCATTATCAGCTTCTAATTAACTTTTGCTGTCTGATTCACATTCTGGAATACAAATAAACAGAATCACACGTGTATGCTTATAAGTTAAAGCTTCCTGAACCTAAACTTCAGCCAGTCTTATTTATGACATCTCAAATTAAGGGGGGAAAAGGTCTTCTAGATCTTATACATGACACCCATTTGGGTGACTATCAAGGCACCCAGTAAACCATTAAGCAATAGTCTGGAGTTTCCAGATTTCTGGGTATACACTGGCCAGGCAAACTATCTCTTAAACTGTGGTTTTCAAAACAGCATATTATGTCAGAAATGGCCCCACACAGAACAGAAAACAGAGCCACAACACACACACACACACACACACACACACACACACACACACACACACA